TGAAAATAGCTTCGATTTAACATAAGTACATTTATATTTTATTGCGTATAAATTTGGTTTATGTTTAGTATAAATATTATTTGTGTACAGCGTAATTTATTGAACTTATTAGCACGAGCCGTTGTTGAAGTTGGAACTAGCTGAGTTATGGGCTCGACTTGGCTTCGGTAGTGGGTTCCAATCCAAGTTCGATGAAGTGGGAGATGACTCCCTGAATTGACCCTTAAACTTGCTTATCTTGCTTATAAACAAATTACTTTGGGATGGTAGTTCATTGGTATCTGATGTGCTAACTGAAATATTGGCAGACGTCACTTCCTTGGACGATCTATTATTAACGTTATTTAACTCATTGGGATAGTTGTATTTATTATCAGCATAGGAGGGTGTTAAATAAACCTTTGTGCCCTTCGCCGCGCTTTCGTTTAGAATCTTCTGATTCCTGCTTATGGACTCTAGCACTTCCTTGATGGACTTCTTCTTCCTCATCCTCGGCGTGGGCGTAGAATTTGATTCCCGTTCCGTCGATATGGAAGATCTGTTGCGATCGTTTGTGGGTCTCTCACCATATCTTACATTATTTTCCAGCTCAAACTCTTCTCTTATTTGTAATACGTCGCTGGTTTCAGCTGGCATCGGCTGAATTAGATTATAAACTACATGGTTCTCTGTTCTCTTTGATATTGCACCATTTGTATTGATGACTTCTTTTTTGGGTAGTTGACTAGGACCACTGGAACTAGTAATGTTCTCTTCAAAAATCTGTGAAATTTGTTTGACCGTGCCAAATGAATTGGTTTTCCTCTCTTCCACATAGACGTTATCTTCTGGCTCAGCATCTGTGCTCAAAGTTAAGGCTTCAACGGGCAGTTTAACTTGGTCATTGGCAATGGGGTGTTGGGTTTTGGAGGTGGAGGCACCACTGCTGTCTTCGGAATCTACCAGGGCGACCGATTGCTTGGTCATCTTAGCAAGTTCTGCCGGCCTTGAAGCTTCCTTAACAACTAAGGTCTCTTCTGTGATGCCAACAGGTAAGGTGCCATTTGGTTTTTTGTTGACTTGGTTTACATCGTTATTGGGTTTCTGTTCAGAGCACACTGATATGTGTTCAGAAGAGTGCTTTATGTGGATGCTCGCGATACACTCAGGAGTTTTGGAAGTGCAGTGATTAGGCTGGCCGGCAGTATTAGTTGTGCGGACTTTTCGGATCTGAACAGGTGTGCTAGGTATTTCGGGCTTGTTGATCTGCTTTATGTGAACGGCGCCATTACATTTCGGTGTCGGGGAGGTGCAAGTATTAGTATTGTTATCGGATTCAGAGATAGTGACCTTTTCCTTATCATTGGCCGTGCTGTATCCATTGGATTGCTTTACACGGATGGTTTGTGGTGCTTTGGATGTGCTGGGGTTAGGTTCGATATCGGAGATTGGTGCAGTAATCAAAATTGTTGGTTCATTTGATTTGGGGACCTCCTCGCCAACTTCTTGTTTTATTAAAGATTCTTTTCTGTTGTTTACAAACGCGTCAATTTCAGATGCAAGAGACTCAATGTCTTTGGTAGCTAAGTAATCTTGGACCTGCAAATAGGTTTCAAATTTAATTCGGTAGCACTTTGTGTACATGGATTTAAATTACCACTAGTTTTGGCGGCGGCGGAGCTCTCCTCTTCTTACGATATCTTCTACTGCTCATCGGGGAACTAGGACACGACTCCGGCTGAGACTCAAAGGGATTAGAGCTGGCTAGACTAGATTGCGATAATCTTAAATGAAAACAATAATTATTATAAAAATCATCAGTATATACGTTGTGTAGATGTACCTTGTGCTCTGATTGTTTGGCGAGCGATATCCGGAAAACTGTGTTGTGCTTCTGTACATGTCATTGCGGTTGAAGAACATTCCATTTGAGGACAATGAATCAGACTAAATCAGCAAAAAAGTCAACGATTAGGATATTTATATGTTATACACTTGAAGACTTGAGTAATCACCTCCCGTCGTCTATCAATGTCTTGCAGGGATGTGTGACGGTCTCCGCGGAAAACTCTAGAGTTCAAATAGGAACTACATATGTGGGTGTTAATAAAATCTTTGCAAAATTAGCTAATTAATTAACATACTTATCGTTCAGATCTCGTCTTAGAGTGGGCGGACTCTCCGATGTTTTGTTTATACCTAATGTTGAAGACTTCTTCTTACGAAAAGAATACGACTTCCTAAAAGAACGAAACGAAATTACACTAAATAACATTTAAGCGAAAGAAGGCTTTTCGCATTTGGCTTGACACAAAATGTTGCATTAGGCAAGTTATTTATACATTTTAGTTATCTGGGAGTACCAAACAAACTAAACAACTCACCACAATTCTTGCAGGTTTCCAATCGACAGACTATGTCTGCCATTTTCGTTCTTCTTTTTGCTGAACCCAAAAAATCTGAGGCGTTTGTGATTATCATCTTCGTAGAATGGATTTAGATGCTCCGGGTAGTTGTAAATGGATATGTGACTAGTGTTTCTCTTGTTCCAACTCATTGTAAATTAGTGATTTCGCCCGCTGTCAATAAATCTAATGTAAATATGAAAAAGACACAGTTGTATATTTTCTAATCCATTCTATGAATGCACTTTTCTGTTGATTAAGTTTTATATACATAAATATGTGTATACGAAAAGCAATCAAAAGCTTATTCCTTATTTCGAATACCATGTACCCCTGATCTTTGTAATGATTGCCTATAAATATAATCACCAGCATGACGACATAACTACTTATTGATGGGTGCAGTATATTTCTACACAAACCCGGTTTTGCGGCCTTCAAAAACGGTTATATGAAATAAAAAGTATATATATATTGTCAATCGTATATTATATAAAAAATGATTGGGAAATTAGCACTATTGCTAAAATGAAGCGAACAGTGAAAGAAACAAATTTTCAGACACACCCAAACGAAATTCGACTAACCTTTCCCTGAAGTTTTTCTCGTTATCACGTTCTTATCAAATAACTGAGTACTACAATTATAATTATGCAATTACCGTTGACTTTCTTTCAATTTCCAGAGACAAATGAAATGTCAACGTTGCCAAGTGATTAAGCAGGTAACGGATCGCAGGGCTTATACTAAGTTACTTTCAAAAATAAAAACAGCATTTGCCCAATAAAACAATATCCTACATAGTAAGTATATGTTTGTATATGTGTATGTATATATATTGTTTTTTCAAATGTGTTTTTGTTTATATGAAAGTGTTTCGAAGATACATATAAATAAGATGAGTATACTTATAACATGTATCTGTGAACATACGAATTCACGAGTTTTGGTTTAGAAAATTTCATTCAAATTAGAATGAAATAAGGTTTTTTGAGCACAGAAGCTGTCTGAATACACTTCGGAATAAAAAATACAATTTAAACAATACAATATAAATATATTATACATAAAGAGCTTGTTTTTTGGATTTTTTTTGGGTGCATGATTTTGCATTTATGGTTTCCCTGTAAGATATATTTATAAGGATTCCAAATATGATACTATAAATTGAAGGTTCATTTCCTCAGGAGAGAGTGATTCTGATGGGTTGAGTTCAGTTGGGTTGGGGATCCCTGGACAATTAGCAGATACACGTCTATAAAGATGAGCTAGAGATCGCCGCGTGTTAAGCACGATCGATTGGAATGATCACATATGAATGCACAATTCGCACCGAAATCTTTAGAATACAAATTATATCGCACTGTTGACACATTTCGTATATTGATTATGGGTAATCTGAGAATCATATGATGGAACGCACGGAAGTTTGAGCTTTGTATTTATTTAGTAATGCCAACTGTTGGACGAGGGATTAAATTGTTTAAGATACCTTAAAGCTTTTTGCTTTCGCCAATTTAACAGGTGAAAAGCGATCACGCACGATGTTTTTATTATGGGGCACGCGCACGTCACTAATGTGAGATCATTTAGATTATTTTAAACACAAACAAATAGACACTTTTCAATAGGCATGAACATAGATCGGCCGTATAAACATTCGCGTTATATAAAGAATTTTCCCTTCTCGCCACGGCCTTTGTATTCATTTACAGATTAACCATCGCACATATGCCTTGGGTACAGGTACATACGGGTACAATGTAGATAAAAATATACACAGGTATGCCCGACGAGGATTGGGGTAATGTGTTCCAGATGACCTCAAATGCTCAGCGCCAAGCTTTTCGCGATACTCACCCACCGAGTTGTACTTTAAGACTAAACGAACTTGATGAACTTTGTATAGAGAGATAGAGAGCTTTGCAGCAATTCGAGGGCTTTTCAAAAGTTATAGTACATGGGCAACAACAAATACCGAAGCGAACGAATGTGACGATTCTATTATGATCGTTTTGGTCGATACGGGCAGGAAAAAGTACCATCTAGAGACCCAAACTTAAGATCATGTGGCTGCATTCTAGACATTCTGAGGAAAGCTAAAACAAAACCATGTATTCAGCAAAACTCAAATAGACATGAGTAACTCCCATGGAAATATTTTGGGTGTAAACTGAACTGGGTGTATTCAATTTTGTATTACCTCATGGATTTGTATTCTTTTTCAAATAGGATATGAGTTGGGACGATATATGGAGTGTTAGGCACACAAAATATGGTTGTAAATTTCGTAGTTGCGTGCTTTGGAGGGTAATATAATAAAATGAGTTTACCATTACTTGTATTATTCTCTTATTTTAATGCTGATATTAAATATTTCATTTTTTTCAGTAAGATAAATGAATGATTTATTAATTCATACAGTCACAATATTTAAAAGATTTTGTATTTTATATCAAGAGTAAACTGTTTTATACTATGAAATGCGATCCAAAAAATTCGTATTACCAAATGTATTTTTAAAAAAATATTTCGACTATATTATAGGAATAAATTCGGCATTTAACATCTAAATGAAACGAAAAATTTTTTCTCTGAATAATTTTTCCCCAGAACAAAGTTGGCTTGTCTAATATAACACAGTTTTGAAATGCAAACAATAGTCTTGACAAAATTATATATCTTTCCTACGATAATATGGGAAGAATCGTATATTCCATACACTCATGGTAAGTATCAACAATAATAATAAATAGTAAATTTTGGACTGAAATCATTGCGTGGTTAAGACCGAAATTCACAACATACTGCATTTTTATTTGAAGTTTTTGTTTTTTAGCATAAGAATCTATGCTGGCAATCTATGGTGGCTTAAATCTGTGTTATTCCAGTGTAGTATGTAAAATCTTCAAGATGCATCCAATAACATTTATACATCGTGTTACCAATGAAAAGGTAAATTAATGCTGTGTATTATTTATTTATTTATTTATATATTCGATTTGAATATATCACTTAAAAACTTCCTTATGGATTTGATGGACCCACTTGAATATTATGTTCTTATCCTCTGTGAAACCCGGGCTTGAATAATATTATTGTATTGTTGTTTATTAACAAGTCAATACACTGTTATTAAGTTCCCAGAGTCGGTGATGGCCCATCGGATCAGATTCCTAAGAGGTCACAATAATGACATTTTATTTTTAATCTCTAACACAAAGATTGAGTCGCGACAAATGTGAGAATGTCCAAGCTGAGTTTTATTACATAATATAGAATAAATATTGATTACATACACAATTTTGAACGACTGGACTATGGGATCACCCCAAAAGTAACTTGAAATCAAACGATTGGTTGATATAAGCCATAAGGTATTGCATTTATAATGAAACTAAAACTTAAAAACTTTTCATAATACCAAGTCTAAAATTCAAGTCCGTTCACCTATAAATTATATATAATACTAAAGTCTACAATGTGAGGTACTTTTTAGTCGCAAGACGAGCTTACACCTTTGCTTTAAATTGTATGCTTTTAATTAAAATATTAAAAGCCCGTTATCAGTTATTCTAACCTCCGCCAATGAAAATATCATCGCGACAACTGAAAAATTTGTTTGAGACACACGCGACAAATTATTTGAGCGAATAGTAGTGAGTATTTCCATATTCGGTGGAGCACATTGCTAAAAAATAGCATTTAGGTCAATAAAAAATTATAATTTATATTGATTAATTAATACCAAGAGTATAACTGCCTTTTGAATTGCTAAAAACTTAATTTTTCAGGATCCATACCGGAAGAGAGGTTCAGAGATCGGCGACATACAACTTAAGGCCACCTCTGAAACTTTGTCTCCAAAAATGGTTGTGGATTTCGTAGCCGGACTTCTGGGAGGTAAGCCTCTTGAACTTTACACACTCTTCCCTCTCTTATCAAATACATACCCATTTCAATTCCAGGAGCTGCGGGGGTTCTTGTTGGTCATCCCTTCGATACCGTGAAGGTCCACCTACAGACCGATGATCCTCGCAACCCCAAATACAAAGGCACATTCCACTGCTTCCGGACGATATTGCAAAAAGACAGCTTTAGAGGATTATACCGGGGTATTAGCAGTCCCATGGGAGGCATCGGATTGGTGAACGCCATCGTTTTCGGGGTCTACGGAAATGTGCAACGATTGTCCAACGAACCCAATTCGCTGACGTCACACTTCTTCGCTGGATCAATCGCGGGAGTGGCCCAGGGCTTCGTCTGTGCGCCCATGGAGTTGGCCAAAACGAGACTCCAATTGGCCAATCAGATTGACAGCGGCATCAAGTTTACTGGACCCATCCACTGCCTCAAATACATAGTAAAAACCGAGGGTATCAAAGGTGCCTTCAAGGGATTAACAGCCACTATTCTAAGGGATATTCCAGGTGCGTTCGATTTACATTAATGACAAGGATTTAAACCTTACCTCCTGCATCCTCTTTTCGAACAGGCTTCGCCAGCTACTTTGTGTCCTTCGAGTACCTTATGCGTCAAGTGGAGACTCCTAGCGTTCCTTACACCCTTCTGGCCGGAGGATGTGCTGGCATTTCCTCCTGGCTGGCGTGCTATCCCATCGACGTGGTGAAGACCCACATGCAGGCAGATGCCATGGGCGCGAATGCCAAGTACAATGGCTTCATCGACTGTGCGATGAAGGGCTTTAAAAACGAAGGACCCCAGTACTTCTTTCGCGGCCTAAACTCCACATTGATCAGGGCTTTTCCGATGAACGCCGCCTGCTTCTTCGTGGTGTCCTGGGTCCTGGACTTCTGCAATGCCAAGAACGGTATGGATTCCGTGATGCACTCCGATCAGCCATTGACTCTAGTGAACCTGGACAACAAGAGCAAAGTGGATTTGGAGACGACGGTGCCCACGGTTGAGGAAGTGGTGCGCAAAATAATCACGGACAATGCCATGTCCCATCAGTATGTGTCTACTCCTCAGGACGTCGTTCACAGCCACTACACGAGTAGCACGATCAACATTCCCAAAGAATCTAAAGCACGTTTAGCATCCGATTGTAATTTAAAATAAAGTACAAATTATTTAGTACCTTTATAAATTCGACTGTTGGCTAATTACTAAATGGTACCAAATATTTGAATCTTGGCAGGCGAACATAAACATTTACCGACCCATAATTTAAGTTTATTTCAACGTAGCAATATTACAATAAAATATATATTAGTCTATGTGAATGCTTTTAAGAGCCACAGGACATGCAGGCGTCCTTATTTTCGAGGGAACAAACCATGTCGGCCATTTTTCGTTCTCTGTCCTCTTCAAACTGTTTGGAGCTTTCATCGGAGGTGCCATTCTGACCGTTTATGCCCTCTGCACCCTTCTTCTTGTTCACGGTGAACTGAATGGCATTCGCAGCTGGCTTTGTGCGCAGATAGTACATTCCGGTTTTAAGACCAGCTTTCCAGGAGTAAAAGTGTATGGAGGTCAGTTTTCCATAGTTGGGCTCTGCCACATGAATGTTGAACGACTGACTCTGATCTATGAACGCACCACGGTCGGCGGCCATTTTAATCGTGGACTTAACTGAGATTTCCCACACCGTCTTGTACAGATCGCGAACCCTCTGGGGGATGGCCTCAATGTTTTGGATTGAGCCCCTGCTGGATATGATCTGGTTCTTCATGTCGTCGTCCCACAAGTCCAGCTCTGTTAGGTCGCGCAACAAATGATGGTTGACCACCTGAAACTCGCCGGACAGAACTCGCCTGGTGTATATGTTCGTGGTATAGGGCTCGAAGGATTCATTGTTGCCCATTATTTGAGCTGTAGATGCAGTGGGCATTGGAGCAACCAGCAGGGAGTTGCGGACACCGTGCTTCTTGATGGACTCCTTCAGTTTCTGCCAGTCCCAAAGGTTCGTTGGGACCTTGTCCCACATGTCGTACTGCAAAATTCCCTTGCTCACCGGGCTGCCCTCATAGGTTTCGTAAGGGCCTTCGGTCTGGGCCAGTTCACAGCTGGCTTCCAAGGCTCCATAGTAAATGGTTTCGAATATCTGCTGATTCAACAGACCGGCTTCTTCACTTTCATACGGGAATCGCATGAGAATCAAGGCGTCAGCGAATCCCTGAATACCTATGCCCACGGGACGGTGCCTCAAATTTGACTTCCTTGCCTCTGGCAAGGGATAATAGTTGATATCAATTATCTTGTTTAGATTTCTGGTAACTATCTTGGTGACTTCCTTGAGCTTCTTGAAATCATACGTCTTCTCCGGTGTGACAAACATGTTGAGGGCAATGGATGCCAAGTTGCAGACAGCTATCTCATCCGGCGCGGAGTATTCAACGATTTCCGTGCACAAGTTGCTGCACTTGATGGTGCCAACATTCTGCTGGTTGCTCTTCCTGTTGCAAGCGTCCTTGAAGAGCATGTACGGATTTCCAGTTTCCACTTGCGCCTCAATGATGGCATACCACAGGGATTGAGCCTTAACCGTTCGGTTGGCTCGACCCTCTTGCTCGTATTTCTCATACAGCTTTTCGAATTCATCGCCCCACACATCTTGGAGGCCAGGGCATTTGTGGGGGCACATGAGCGACCAATCACCGTTGGCCTCCACGCGCTTCATGAAGAGATCGGGTATCCACAGAGCGTAAAACAGATCGCGGGCGCGATTCTCTTCCTTGCCCGTGTTTTTCTTTAGTTCGAGGAACTCAAAGACATCCGAGTGCCAGGGCTCCAGGTAAATGGCAAAGGCACCGGGACGCTTGCCGCCTCCCTGGTCCACATAACGCGCCACATTGTTGAAGACCCTGAGCATGGGAACCAACCCATTGGACGTTCCGTTTGTGCCGCAAATCGAGGTGCCCTTTGCACGAATGCAATGCACGTTGAGTCCAATGCCACCAGCAGACTTGGAGATCATGGCGCACTGCTCCACAGACTTAAAAATGCCCTCGATTGAGTCGGCAGTCATGGTCAGAAGGAAACACGACGACAGCTGCGGGCGGTTTGTGGCAGCAGCAAACAGCGTGGGCGATGCATGCGTAAAGTAGCGCTCCGATAGAAGATTGTAGGTTTCCACGGCCGCATCTATATCCTCTCCATGGATTCCGATCGCCACGCGCATCAGCATATGCTGCGGTCGCTCTGCGATCTTTCCGTTTGTCTTGAGGAGATAGGAACGCTCCAGAGTCTTAAAGCCAAAATAGTTATAGCCAAAGTCACGATCATAGATTATGGAAGAGTTCAAACGAGTGGCGTTCTTCTTAACCACGTTGTAGTGAAACTCAGATACCAAGGACACTTTTTGATTCGTTTCCTTGTTCACATGATTATACAGATCCTCAAAGACATCTATGTAATAAGAATCATTAATGGACTATCTCAAGAACTACTAGACAAGCAGTTGACTTACCAGAAAAAGCTTTCTTGGTTTCCTTGTGCAAATTGGACACTGCGATGCGAGCAGCTAGGATGGCATAGTCTGGGTGATAGCAGGTTAATCCAGCTGCGATTTCAGCAGCCAAGTTGTCCAGTTCCTGGGTGGTCACGCCGCAGTACAGACCATTGATGACTTGCAGGGTGATAGTGACCTACGAAGATAAAGCATTATTACACTTTAGGTAAAATCCCCACTTTCAATTTCTAGCTTTCTATCGAAATTATCTAACAATAACTAATTACAAATAGTTTATAATTTTTGGGACTTGCACGGTAGTCTCAACGGGTGCGCTTTATTGCAGATCTGTGAAGAACCCCAGAAATATATAAATACGTATCATACTTACTGGCTTAGAGTGAAACATGTAGAATAACCACCTTTAAGCAATAGAAATTAACTTACAGGATCAACAAAATCCATGTTCAAGTTGTAGCAAAGCTTCTGGATTCTTGAGGTTATTTTATCGAAGTGAACCTCTTCCTGCCTGCCATCTGTAATATATATATATATATATAAAGAACAATAGCAATAAGGAAAGATAACCACCCACCTCTCTTAATAACATATAACTTCGAGATTTTCATGGACTTGTTCATAAACATTTTGACTGATATTTTTCACAAGATTAGATGATTTGCTTGTTGCAAGCACAAAAGGGCGCCAAATTAAAGACAAAATTAATGTTACCGTTCGTTATTTTCGTCAAATTCCGCACAATCAAAAATCACATTTTTGAAACGATCGAGATTCTTTAAACATTGATAAATAACATTGAATGAGAAAATGTAAATTTAAATTTAAATATCAATACAAAGGTGTATTGACTTTACAGATCAAAACACACTACAAATTTGGTTTGGTGTTAATATAAATAATTAGTTGTATCTTTTATTTATTTAGCATTATATAATTACATAAATATAACAGTGTTTGAAGAACATTTGAGTATGTTTTATAAACGGTCTCGTTAGATTGTTATCAATTATACAAGTGATTATAATATTTATAAACAAGTTGTTAATAAAATATGCAATTTCAAGTGTTTAATCTAAATTGCCGTGTCTAACTATTTTATTGACCTGCTGTCCAGATTGCTGTTGGAACACACTAGAATGAAAATTAATTGAAAAATGTAATATCTCGATATCAATATAATTGTATACAGTATATTATTGTACACTTACAAAAAGTTATTTATTTTTTCGAGATCGTGTAATACATCGTCTTGGTCCGAATTCAGATCGTCTCGCTCCTTTAAGCTCTCCAGTAGTGTAACATTCAAGTTTTCTATATACTCTTGCAAATTATTAACCAAAAGCTGGAGAGTCGGAACTTGAATTCCAGTGAGCAGCTGCCTCGAAATCCATCGATGGTTGGAATTCATTTGGATACCAACATCACACAGCATGGATCGAATTACGTCCACAATGGGAGTTACGCCGTGTTTCCTGGCCTTCAAGTAGATAATTATCATAAAAATTTAAACATTTGAATCGTTTAAAAAACATACCTTTACTTTCATCTGAGCTATTTCCTTCGATTGAGCTAGGGCTATTCTAACCTCTATTTGAAGTTTTGATTGATTCGCAAAGAAAAACAAGTTTTCATCTGACGGAAAATCTGTTGTACCAATGGCGTTACCATTCGCATGATTCATGGTTTTATCTTGGTTGATTTGGTTCTTTTGAAAGATTTTGTCGTTTTCATATTCCTTATGGTGTTTTGTCTCGCAGAAATCGGATTGCTTGCGAAGTACACCACTTGATAGCTTTGGGCACGTTTCAGAGTCGGAACTATAACTTTCATTATCGGATACGGTTAGAAATTCCTCCTTCTTCATATCTAAATATAAATACCAATAATATATTCAAAATACTAATAATGATGAACTAATATATTTAACTTACCATTATTTAAAGATTCTTTATCTCCGATCGCCAATCTCTTACGTATTTCATCTCGATTAAATCTCCGCTGTAAAAGGAAAATATATTATGCTAATAATATTAGTTTTGATAGTATATCGTACTTACCTTTTTCTCTATCTGTTTAACCTTTTTAAAATGGTTTTCCAATGTTTCCACATCCATATCGTTTGCAATCTTGTAGGCATCAAATTGTTCTATAAATATATAAATCACAATAAGCCCAAGAAGCTATAATTACCAATTCTTATTTGAAATTACCTAAAACCATAGTAGAGCATGGATCTTTGGAGTACTTAATGGGATCTTCTAAGTATTGAGACCAGCGCGATTGACTTAAGTACTTCCGACTTGCCACCTTATTATTATCCTCGTCAAGATTCTGCTGGCTTCCACTTTGATCGATTTTCAAGTTGCTTAAGCTGGGCATTTCACCCTGACATATGTTCGCACTATCATTTTTGTTATTTTCCGAAACGGACGAGTACTGCTCATCATCACAAATTATATATTTTCGTTGGCTATACGTTTTGTAGTCGAACGTGTCTGGTGGCAACTGGCGTTCGTCATGTGACGGCTTTGCATGCTTCGTTTTTATGGTTTGATGTCCGTATGGTGTGTTCTTTTTTTTATTTTTTCTAGTACTGTTTCCAGACAATCGCGTCGAGGATTTTTGTTTTAAAGCTTCCGTTCCATTGGATAGTTCTGCATCGCAAATCTGTAAGTCACAAGTCAGCTATTACAAGGTCGAACTCCTTTATAAAAACTACTAATTTACCTTATTTAAATTTGATCCCTTTAACTCATCTTCACATTTCTTGTTTTTATATCCAGTGAGGAGTAGCTCGAATTCCCGCTCCACCTCTCCTCCAAAATCCCCTACAATATCGACAGGGCTTTGTCCCTGCAAGTGCTCTTCGTACTTTGAATTAATTGTACATGACCAGGTGGAGAACTCAGGATTGGTCGTATAATTGTGGCTTAGATTATAGATAAGGTCTGGCTTATGCAAAGCTCGCTTGGAGGTTTCCGACGTTGCACTATAGTTCTCATTTACAATATCCGGAATATTGTCTGATCTCTTCACGATTTTCTCTGATATAAATGTGTTACCATTGTCGCAGTTACTTAAAATCAAATCTTGGCCATTCTTAAATGTTTCTGAGCCCGATTCCTTGACAACCTTATTTGGAAACGTGTTTGGGTCTTCTTCTCTGTCGCTATCGGTTAGATCGCTTTCATTGCATTCCATATCCGAGTACTCTATGTAGTCATCCGACAGGGTATGCGCAAATTTCTGAAATCCTGGATAGTTAGGGTTGGTGATGCCCTTTGTTATATAGATATCCATTCTAGAGCTGGGCATTGGAATAAGTTGTCTAGACGAAATGGCAACGATGACCAAATATTGGATTAGATGACTTAAATATTGATTAAAATTAAAGTGAAATAATAATGCAACGTTCATTCACTAGTTCCATATTATCAGGTAATGTAACATAGTAAAAGCAATTAAACATATAAATTCATAAAATTGTTTTCAGGTTTTTTGATTTTTTTTCGTATTTTCTTTTACTTGTAAAAGGACTCCTTTACCTCAACCACACTATTTCATTTATTTCAACTCATTTTCGTATTCATTTTAATAAATCACTTTAAGAATAAAATACGAATTTCACTTTAAGTATCTTTAAATGTCACAATGTCTTTAAGAATACAGAAATGAAATATTATTTGTATTCTTAAAAGAACCAAGCTGAAAAAAGTTGGTGTAGGTGCAAATTTGTGTAGCAGAAATATCTGAAGGTAGTTAAAATACTTGCAATTATAAATTTTTTTTTTTTTGATTCGTTAAAACAATAGTTTCTATTGTTAGCAACTATAAAATGCTCAGTTTGTTTAAAATTGTAATTATTGAATCAATGAAGACTTACAAGGATTTCGGCCTTCCTGCATTCAGATGTAAAATTTACTCCCTCCCACACATATAAGACAAATTACACTTTTGACGCATGCGCAAAACTTGGTCTATGGTGTTATTTACAATACTAACTTTTATCACATATTACTTATAGGAAAAATTTAAAATTTATGTTTAAGTTTAGATGCAAAAACTGATATTAACAAAAACAACTTAATATCTTGAAAAATTGAATCTTAAATTTTCATTGATTATGATTACAGCATTTTTTTGAAGTATACAAATATTATTTAGGTATAGGCTTAAAACATTTAGATGTGTTTAATTTAAGTTGTTAAAAAAAACCCTATAGTACGTATATGAATGCCTCTAATGCGATTTTTTGCACTCAGTATTTTTTTTACTTGAGATATGGTAACACTTTAGCACAATGTGATTTAAAAAACCATAACATTGTATATAAAACTAATAGAACCCAAACACGACTAGAAAAATGAAATAACTGTAGGTCTAACTGATAAGTGGATAATAATGATATTATTCAATGGAATTCGGCGGGTGCAATCCCAGCTAAGAACGCCGGTTGACTTTGTGCTCATTCGGGTGAGGTTCTTGGCCATTACGCAACAACGATAGCAACTATAACTTTCCAACAATTTTTAGTACTCCACTGCAGCAACGATATCTTCCCAAGATGACAGAGATGTCGCTCCAGCGCCACCTGTATCTCAGCCGGGAAATGTCCAGCATTTACCAAATAGTCAAATTACCTGGATGCCCAGTCCGTACACCATGCCCGGGAAAACTCTCAGCCAGTACAAGAAGTTGTCCAAGTTCCGGCTGACATGTGAGTGAGATGGTTACGTTGGCCAAGCATCGAAAGTAATAGGGCTTATCACCTTTTGTTGCAGCGCTGGTGGTCATTACAACGATGGGGGGCTATGCCATGGCACCAGCCGCTTTCGAGCCCACCACGTTTGCGATGTGCACCCTGGGCACTGGACTCGTTTCGGCTGCGGCGAATGCCATTAATCAGTATCACGAAGTTCCTTTCGATTCGCAGATGTCGAGGACAAAGAACAGGGTGCTTGTCACGGGACAAATGACGCCTCTGCATGCTGTCACCTTTGCCACGGTGTCGGCAACTGCCGGCTTGAGTATGCTGTATTTCGGAGTAAATGGATTGACGGCGGCGCTGGGAGCGGGTAACCTGTTTCTCTACACCACGATATACACGCCGATGAAGCGTATCAGCATAGTCAACACTTGGGTGGGTTCGATAGTGGGCGCCATTCCTCCGCTGATGGGCTGGGCTGGATGTGCCGGTACCCTGGACGCCGGCGCCATGATCCTAGCCGGAGTCTTGTACGCGTGGCAGTTCCCGCACTTCAACGCTCTGTCGTGGAACCTCCGGCCGGATTACTCCCGTGCTGGCTACCGAATGATGGCCGTTACCAATCCGGGTCTTTGTCGACGCACTGCGCTCCGATATTCGGTGGCGATTGCCGGACTTTCAGCGATGGCACCCGTACTGGACGTCACGAACTATTGGTTTGCCTTGGAAACACTACCTCTGAACGCGTACTTCGCCTACCTTGGTAAATATATTCATTAGCTATGGACTCCTATCTGTTATTTCTAATTCGTTATGTTTGCCTACAGCGTACAAGTTTTATGAAAAGTCCGATAGTGGGAGCTCGCGGAAGCTATTCCGATTTTCACTGATACACCTGCCCGCCCTGATGCTACTGTTTCTGGCCAATAAGAAGGAATGGTATTTCAGCAAACCCGCCGGTGAGGAGAACAAAAAGGAATCCACGTACATTGCACTAAAGCAGTCTGCTACCAGTCTTGGTAATGTCCTACCCGTCGCCGTAGCCGAAGGACCCAGATAGAAATATTAACATTGATTTGATAAAATGTTAAGTATCGTGAAATTTAAATATATTAGTGTTCTGCAACTTGTAAAAACAGTCATTTAATATTAAGGAAAAACTTACTTCTGTGCGGTAAATATATTTTGCAACGAATAAATGACACCACATCCTTGCAAATACTCGGTCTAACGAATCCTGCGTTCGATGCAAATTAAATTAAAATCTAAACTTTGTTATTGAATTCCTGGGCTGTGCAGTAATTTAAATTATAAGAATGTAAGTGTGACCGTATTACTTCGTTCTTTGAGCAAAACCATTTCACTTGTTTCATACGGAAGCATTTCCGCTCTCAAGGAAACGATAAAATTTGTAACAGCAACAGCTGGCATAGCAATGAATATCCGTTGTGTACAAAACAGTATTTGAACTATTTATTTGGTTTTAATAAATAGCAGCAATCGATCGACTTTCTAGTAGCGTATTATCATCTTAAGTCAGTTTTATTAAAAGTTCTTTTACTCATCACATTCTTTTACATACATAGAAGTTCAGTTGCTCACACATTTAAAAATACCAATTCATAAATTGTTAAAGAAATTGTATATCTGATATCTAGCTCATGCATAACTTATTTTTATAATATTTTAGATATACTGCAATAAAAGGAGTACAATTAAAATTTCTAGCTAAAACTAAGTACAGCTATTCGTAATCGATATCAAAAATACCAAAAAGTTGCCCCTATTTTAGTATATTTTACTAGTTCCTCTGATGTATGCGTTGGTCTTACAAATGGGAAGAACTATATTTTGTATTGTGTTGCAATAGCCTTGATGTTTTATCACAGAAACGCATTAGCATAATCACTGATTTATCGCGATGCCAAGATGAATCATGCAGCTAACGCGACTATCGCTGGAGCCCTCGTTTGGTAATTTGAACGGGAAACTAGATCAAATGAGCGACAAATCTGTGACGAACCACTGGAGTGAATTATTTTTAGTGAGCTGAACGTGGATTGTGACAATGAAAAATTGAGGAATAGTGTTTACATTCATTTTATAATTTATTTTACCAGTTATCTTTTTTATCTCGATAAAGGAGAGGCGTATGAAAGTTTCTTTACACAGTGCAAAACGAATATAAATTTCTAATTATGAATAATGTACCACATAAGTTTCGTCAAGTTTGTCGATTGTGCCTCACATTGGTTAACGAGTGCGATGTTGCAGTACTACAGATTTACGATAATTCGTCGCATAATGATAGTGCCCCAGACAGAATATCGGTCGATTTTCGAGGCGTCGCGAATCGTGCCAACTGCTTTTGCAGTGCTTTAAGCCCCAATCTGTGCAGTTGCATCGTTGATAACCCGCTATCAGCCAACAAAAATGAACAGCGCAACCAGGGAACAGCCCTACCCGTACCCCTCCCTGTGCCCGTTCCAAGCCAGCAGACCCAATTCCAAATCCAAACCCAAACTCAAACCCTTCACCAAAACCAAACTAAAATCCATTACACGCCAAGTGTGCCTTCTGCTGCGGACGCAAAGTCGAGTGAACGCGAACCCCAATGCCAATTGGAGTCGGGCATCGCCGAGAGATCAACAGTATTCAAAAGTCAGTCATCGTCGGATCACGAACATATAGCATATAGCGGGGAGACGCCATCCCCCTCCGCATCGCAATCCCAATCTCAATCGCAATCAAAATCGGAACCAACGCGCGAGGAGGAACATCAGCATAATCATAATCAGCAGAGCGGCCGCGAGGAGACAAGTGTGAATATAACAAAAATAAGCGGAACCGATAACTACGGCAAAGAGCACGGTCGGGATGATTCATCATCACCACATCTTACATTTCAGATATTCAACTGTCTCTCTATTAAGGTAAGCAGATTTCCATCCAACACATTTGCAAAGAAACGAATTTACATTAATTACGCACACACACCAGCGTGCGCATACCTGTGTGTGTGTTGGATATATCGCGTATATGTACACGATAATGCCCGCACACAAGCGCACTTTTGCGAGTGCTTGCCGTGCGGTGGTATGTGTTATCTATGTGATTACGACACCACACGTCAAAATAATAGGAAATGATTGGGCCGCTTTTATCCCATGGCCTATTAACAATCGGTATCAATTGTTTGGTATTTTTTCGATGAACCATTGCGAGGCATTGGCCCACGCACACCACGCCACACTCGTACATCAGTGTCCAGCGCACAAATGTAAATATTGCTATGTACCTACGTGTGTGCATATGCACGCATGGATGTATGTTAGAGACCTACATACATTAATCCACGCCAGAGATAACATTCGTTTCGATTGTTTAAGTGCGGATATACCAACGTACATACACCTTATATGGCCCCAATGGGTTTTTACAAACATACTTCGAGTACTTTCATTTGTTATTATTTGATTTGATTTGTTGATTTGTTAATTTATTCCTTTAATGCATTTCTTGAGATTTAGTGTATATTTCCGTAGATGATCTCTTTGGAACATATGTTTTGCTGTAAATCAGTTTTGAAGGATTTGTTTTTAATTTTCTCAATCATATTTCCCTTAAGATTTAAAGATATTAAATTTTTATACAAATTTTGATATATATTTTTTTAAAGTTTTAGCTGTCCAGAACTCGATTTATACAATTTTAATGCAGCTATTGTCCTTCTGGTCCTAAGTATAAACAGTCATCAATCTCATCGATCGATTTTGTTACCGTTGTACTCCTTAGTCATTGCATCATTCACATTTTTAGCCAACTGAATATAGAAAGTGGATAGTACATGATAAAATACATTCATATTTCTTTCAGGCACTGCCTAACGATGGATTACCCAACGTGGTTTGTGGTGACTGCAGACAAAAATTGGATTCCTTCGAAAAGTTTCGTACGATGGCGCACAACTCACAAATAGCTTTGAAAGAATTTTTAAATATATCCAAAAATCTGAAACCAGTAAGTATTGATTGGAAGGAACTGAGTTACAAACCAACTACAAAGTATTCATATAAGTTCAACAATAATACCATACCATATAAGGAAGTATCTTGGGGTTTAAGCAATCCGAAACCCTGAAACATTATTAAAATGACCGTTTGAATTAATACTCAAAACTTTGTTTTTTTGCAGGACCCAAATGATTTGGAAACTAAGCTCGATGCAATTTTAAAGGCTTCATCGGAGGCTATAGCGGCAAAGGCTCTGACGGAGCTAAGCACGTTTTCTAAAGTTAAGTACGACCACAGT